ATAACTACAAACACTCTGTGAATGAAGAATAGTGAGAGGTCAAGACCAGGTCTTTAATAAAGGCCAATTCCCAGTGACATAAAGCACAGCTATTCAGGTATTTTCTCTGACAGCCAGATTACTTTAACTTCTGTTTAAATTTACAAATAACCTTCCTCTTGCTATCACAGAATAAGCTGACATATTTCACAATTTTCATCCCATTCCTCCCACAAAACTCTGAGGAAGATTCATGGTGGCAAGGACTGCAGGCTGTGCATCCTTCTGCAAATCTCTTTTTTGTTACTGGCATGGTTCTTACCATGTGCATCCATCCATATACATCATGATGTGATTCAGTTATTGCAGATTGGGCACTCAAGCTTCTCATCTGCTACGTGTCCTCTTCATTACCACTGGGATGCAGCCCAACAAGCCCTACTTACATTTGCAGGAGCTACTGGCAAAACAAGTATTATTAACTTTCTTAGGTCTTCCCATGCAATTCAAAAGGATTTTGAGCTGTATTTCTAGGTTCCTTCATGAGTCACTTAACACAGATTTAAGATATGAGCGTAACATAACACATACCTGCCTAAGTTGTTCACAATTTCAGACTTTACTAAGAATTTATTCTCTTGTCTAGTTTTTGGCTGTTTTTTTTTATTTTATTTTCTTGTGGTGGGCTGGGGGGGATGCATTTTGTATTTGCCACTACTGTACCTCTCTCTCCTGGATTTCAGATGACATATCAATATATCTGATCAAATAATCTTGTTAGTTGAGAGACAGCTTATGAAAGCATACATAAATTTTGTTGCAGTCAAATATGGCTTTTCTCTGTATTTCCTTTTCTTGTTGGGCAGGGTCACAAGGAAGTTTCAAACTTCTTGCTGATGCACACATACCATCTCATCTTGAGGGTTTTGAACAAAAGACAGAAGTCTTAAGTTCCTTCAGTTCTGTAATACATTCCTCCTCTGCTTACCCACTGTTTAAAGACATTTTATCAGTGGTTCAAGATCAGATTTTCATTCATCATAGGAATTCAGTACAATTGTCATGACCACCAACCTTCTTCAAATAAAGTTCATGATTACAGCAATGAATTTGCTGCACAGTATTAAATGCTATTTTACTGTGCTTAGGATTAGATATAAATACTTGCCCATTATTTGCATGAATAGCTAACAAACACTTATTAAAAAATTTTTTTCTAGGGAAAATCTTTTTTTTAAAACAAAACCCAGAAACCAACAAGCTCTTTTATTCTCTTTCCTCTGCATTGACCCAAGTTACAGTTTTACGACATTCATTTAACTTGACATGATTTGTAACAAAACCTTCATTATACAAGACAGATAGAAACAAAGCTGTCTTTAACAATGAATCACAATTCTAAACTATATGATTCACCCAAGTATCTATTTTGCCAAGAAGGATGAAATGTGATAAAAAAAAGCTGAAGAATTGGAGTGTAAATAGTAAAGCTGTGATATAAAGCAAGGCATACATATGTTCTAGTTACTTGCAGACTCCTAAGATCAGAAAGCTAACAAGTAATTTTTAATTATTTCTAACTTCTATTTTTTTCTTCAGATCTAATTGTCTTTTTACCTAAAACATTAACAGTAGCAGACTATTTTGTTCAAAATAAACTGCTAATGAATACATGGTTAGATGTGCCTTTTCCCCGTTGTACATTCCTATACTTTCTCATTTAACACATTTGCTGATAATCTATATGTTACAGTGTTTGTGTGTGGGCAATCAGATCAGAAATAGGACAAGCTGATAGCAATGGCAACATCCCCTTGCACTGAAAAAGAGGAACTCAGAACTCTTTCCACAAAGAAGAATGGAATTACTTGCTCTACTGAGTATTAACAAAAAACAAAAGGGCAGTGCACAGGAAACCAAATGGCAGAGATTACTTCTAAAAGATTGTTTCACTTTGTCATCAAAAGTAAATTGGCACAAAGAGATGGATCAATGTGTGATTTCTGCATGCATGAGCACCAGAAACTTGAAAGAGAACTCTTTCTGAACTGGAAAAGAAATGCTGGTATGTCAACAATTTTCACAGTTGGTCAATATTTGTACAGAATTTACCAACAGTTAAATGTACTGATCAAAATATCTGTATTACAATAGCAATCATAAATGCAGCACCAGAATGTTATACCAAATGGATTTCATATTTCAGTGTTTAGCATTTTGTGATATTGGGGTGATTAAAAGGAGTTGTGCAGTAGTAGCTCAGTCATTTCTGTATCTACATCACAAAATAGCCATTAGAGAAATTAATTATAGTACAGAATTTTTTTAGTGACATATTATTGTGTCAAAGCAAAGATTTCCACAGCCTGTAGAAATTTTATTTAAGAGTAGCCAAGTGTGCAAGATGGGAACCAAGAATTAACAGGGAGAAGAGATAAAGACCCTTCGGGAGTCTTCCTTCAGGAACTGGTGAAATCTCTCTAATACTGTCCAGTGCACAGCTCAGTCAGGCAGATGTTTCAGATGTTTGCTTTCAGGTCAGCCTCCCTTCAGTGAGCACCTCACATGAAATCAACTCTTGTGCAGGGGGTCAAACAAAACAATGTTTATCACTTAAAATTCACACATGGCTATTTTGATGGCAGAAATTGAAAGAGGGGATAAGGAATTGATGCCCTGTGTAGGAGATAAATTATATTATCAAATAAAACACATTATTCATGTTCAAAATGCATTTCTCTGAAGTGTGAAGTAAAAAAACTTTAGCTGATAATCTCTAAAATTAGAGAAGTGTGTTTTTCAAAGTGAAATTTACTTTTGTACAAAAATTCAATTTGTACTTCTAAGTCATATTCATTGTAAAGGGAAAATATTTTACTTCTGTCAATCCAAGGAAAAACTGTACTACTGTGTTTAGCTCCCACAAATTACCAGTTTCCATTATTGAGTATAAAAGATATGGTCAACACATTGTGAGGTTTTACAACACTGAGACATGATAATAAACCTGAGTTGGAAACTTACATTACATGTTAATTTACATCACTTATATAAATGGGAAAAAATATTGGCCAAAATCCCTCTGTCTTTAATGCCTGGAACTTTCACCACTGCAGCAGCCTAAAGAACATTTAGATTCGTATTTTGATATCTGGACTGAGGTACAAATAAACTTCTGTTTTCCAACTTGAATAATTTGCTCTCTAAATTATACAATGGAATTTATACATGGGATAGACCTGACAAAAAGTAGTAGCAAACAAAAATTTTCCTTTCTAACAATCAATCTCAGAAACATTTACAGAATTCTATCAAAACCACCAGCTTTCTTTAGGCTTAGCTGCTCCAGGGGTTCCTAATTAAGGATTACTCATCCTACCACTTGACCACATTACACTGGAGAGCTACTTGCATTTTATCTGCTTGTGGGAACAAGATTACTGCTTGACTACATCATCTTTCACACGATCGAACTCTGTAGTACCAAAGGGAAATTCTACGAGACTGTTTTAACAGATTTGAAAACTACATGGCCATTAATTTCAAAATCATGTATTACTCCATATATGTGTGCCCTGTACGTGATTGGAATTACATTTTAGAAAATATAAATAAACTCTCATGACACAAAGGAATAATAAAATCCGATCTGCATGCACTATTATTAACTATCTTTATTAACTGACTTTGAGGCAAAGTCAAGGGATTTAGGTACTACCACACAAGCACAGAAGACAACACTTTTTACTGTTTGAATTCCTACCATCAAAGACATAAATCTTATTTTCTCAGTGTGCAATCTGAATGTATCCTCCAGAGCTACTAGAAATAGATTCCATTGTGATAGACTTTTGAAATAATTACCACAGCCAGAAGCCTTTTGTATTAGCAGGCAATGCCTTAAGGTTTCATTTTGTGGTAAGCTCTAAATTGATCTCCTGTGACACTTTCTGAGTAAGTGGTAGGAGCTACTAGCTTAAGATTTACTCCATAACTTTTTAAGTACACCATGACCTCCTTTAATACTACTAGGAAGTTAATGACCTGAACATTTCACTTCTGCAGTTAGCAATGTCCTTTCTCAGCAATGGCACAATCTGCTGAGCCAATAGTGCTTTAACAAATAGAAGTTTGCACTCAGAAACAACAAAGGAGAAAAGCCTTCCTGGAATTCAAGGTTGACCAGTAGTTCAAAGCAATTCAATTACTATAAGACAGTAAATAGGAACTGCATTTATTTTCCTACTGAATGTATTTAATGCACCTAAAAAAAGCCCTTATCCTGGCTGTACTTAATAGAGTCACAAATATACAATTCTGTTAAAGCCACAAAATTCTCTATGAAGACAGGTGACAGTAAAGCTGGATTTGGATTTAAAAATTATTTGCTATATAATGGAAACGGTGCAAAAAATATCTGGATCATTGGGCTCAAAACGTCAGTGGCTTAGAAGTCGAACCAGCAGCTGGTTAAGATTGTTTCACCTCAGTGGTTAATTCCAGGCACAGTTCTGTTTAGTCTCTTTAACAATCTGTACAGAAAGCATGCTCAGCAAGTTTGAGGACAATGACAGTTTTAGCAGTCAGTACCTACCTGGAAGGACTGCCATTCAAAGGACCTTGACAACCTGGAGAAGTGGGCTGGCACTGAGCTTTAAAGTGTAAATCTAAAGTCTTGAATCTCTCATGCTCCCATTGCTCTCTGTAACTTCCTTAATTTGAGAGCATAGAGAAGAAAAAGCCAAAATAATCTCGGAGATATGCAGTGAAAGGATAACAGGTCACACACACAAATTGCACCAGGGAACAAGTGCCAGAAGAGTCTGTAAGATCTCCATGCTGGCAGAGACTCCAAACATACTGAGACATGGCCCTGAGCACTTTCAGTATTTTCCTTTGCTGATGCACATAAAGATAGATTAAATTAATGTTAGGTTACAAGGCCTAAAATGTAAGGCATTTCCCAAACCAGTGCATCTATAGATTTCTGAGGAATAAATGACAGAAACAAAGGGTCTAACCTCTTGCTTGTAACCCAGGTCCACAGGTCTCCTGTGCTCCCGGACTGTCTTGGCGTACGTACCATGGGACCAGTTGGCACCTGCGCCATTTGTGTGTCTTCCATCTGAAATGAGAGAGAAAGCAATCCATCTAAACCTTGGAGCTATCAAACCTCAGGCAGCCCAAGTGCTAGATAGTGTTATAAACCACCATAAGCTATTGCTTATTTTTACTAACTGCTCACAGGCAATTCACAAAAGAACCAGTAACAGTACCATGAATTTATCCTTATTCTGTTAACGTTTTCTTTTAGGATGAGACCAGTAAGAACACATGGAAGAAATAAGGAAGAAAAGGTAGAAAGAAAAAAGGAGAAATAAGAAACAGAAAGGAAGGTAGCTGCAGAAAGTATTGAGACAGTGGGCTTGAGTGATTGTAAGGGTGCCTCAGGAAATTCCTGGGATCTTGGATTGCTGAGTGGTGGTACCTTACAAATGTGGAGCCAGCTAAGAAAACTAACACGGGTCCACCATATCAAAAATAGAACACAAACAAAAAGAACTTGCAAAAAATTGTCAATAAGAAAAGCAATACTGTGCTGCTTAAATTATTCTATCATTAATATAAACTGCTATGAAACTTTTATAAAGTTCCTTGCTAGCGCTGAAAAATACCCCAGCCCTTAAATATAGAAAATCCAGGCAAGTCTGTTTGTTGTCACAACTCTAAAACAATCCACAGCTCCAGCCATCAGCAGCTTGCATGTTTTAAACATCTCAATGGCTTTGCACCTCGAGTTTCATTGCAACCTGCCTCTATGGGACAGCAACCAACTAAGCCATGAGCCAGCTGAGTGTGTGAGTCCATCTGTCACAGCATGTGTGCAGGTCAGAAAGATGCTAAAGGAAATACATGGAACATGTGTTTGGTATTAGTTTGTGTCATGAAATATAAATGACCTCATCTACCACTCTCTAGCAACTCTTCTTTCTTATGCTCTGCACATTATCATCTAGTTCAGATACTGAAGATACTAAAGAGATGAGCAACAGCCAGCATTTTAAAAGATAAAACTCAGACTCTCATTTTGACTATAAAAAGTTCTTGAGCTCTATTTCTCTGGTGTTTAGAGTACTGATTTTGGTAGCTTGCCAGTGCTCTTTTCAATCTTTTCATATCGTTTAGTTGCATGGTGTGTGATCTCCTAATGAATTTGCAATGATAATTCTTATGAGATGATGAAAGCAACACATTTCTTTAACCTCAATTTCTTTTATTAAGCTTAAATTCTATTTGTACCTCTGCAACAGATAGTAGTTTCATGGGAGTTATTATACATTAAAAAAAATTTTTTTATTATTTTGTCAAGTAAATCTAACTAATGGCATCAGAATAGTCTAAATTTTGTCTCCATCAACAATATCTTGTTGTATGTCCAGACCTTCCCACACACTCAGATAGATATTACAGAACCACCCAAACATTTTCTTAAGCAAAAATTGTTCCACCTTCTGGGAATAGTCCTCAACATTCTGTGGTGAAGAGCAGGGCAATGCAGAGGACACGGGACATATGGGGGATATCTTCAGCTCTGGACTGTCTCAGGGCTTACAGGGATAGAAAAAAGAAGGCTATGGTAGGCTGAACAGTGTGGTACCAGAAATCAGCTCTCCTATTCTAAATATAGAAGCTTGAAGTTCAGCATTTTGGATATTTTAGAAATATTTGTTTTACATGTTTAGAATGTCAAAATGGTTTCTAGGAAAAAATTATTCTGGAAAGTAATTCTTAGTTCTTGCAATGTTCTTTCAAAGGAGCTGGAACAAAATGAGCCAGTGATTGCCTGTGGCCCAACTGAGTCTACATATCTAATGTGAGCCCTTGTGTGTATCCTGTTTTTATTAATAGTGCATGTTAGAAAAGCAACTACTGCTAAGTAATGGAATTCAGCAAGCTCTAGAAGTAGTACAAGTTTAAAAATCATGTCTGAGCTGTTTCTGGTTGATTGTCTCACATACCTGTAGCTATGACAGACGGGAGAAGCTTCACATTCTCTTTCCTCAAACAAAGAGTCTGGGCACTCCCGACCACCATTGGCAGGGAGCTGGATGATGACTCGGTGACGGGACTGCTTCCTGACTGTGGCACCCCCTGCAAAGAGTAGAATAGCTGGTTTCTGCTGCTGCTACTTAGAGTTGAAAGTAATTAGGGTGAAGACAAGGTTTTTGAACCAATTGCCATAATATTGACATGCTATTTTGCCCCTAAGCAGAAAAATTAGGCCTAATAAAAAAAACACTTCAATTTCTTCTCAATGCCAGAAAGCAGAATCAAACAGAAAGCAATAACAGTAACAATGAACAAATGAGCAGACAGCTGAAATTAATAAAAAGTTCAAGAGAACAAAAATTAAACCAGTTCAGTTTGCTGTTACACTTTACAGTTTGAAGGTGTAAGCTTGCCCTAAACATTTGCATGTAAAACTATAAACAGAAATTCCACTCTAGAATTCCTTCACAGTTTGCCGTTTTTAATTATTATGGTCATCCATTATTAATGATAAACAGTGTAGTAATTTTGATTTTATTCATCTTCAGGTATCAGTTCTTCAGGCAGAAAATTAAGAGAAAAGCTACAGATCTGTATTAGTTACACAGCAATGCCTACATTAGGTCAAAGTCTTGGAGGGTTTTTATTTTTTTCACAGAGAGCAGTAGAGCAGACATTTGGCTGACTGGGCTGATACCAGCTTTGGGTGGGTTATTACAGCAGCTGCAGCTTGTCTGATCACAGAAGCGTGCTGGAGCACAGCCAAGCAATTGCAATTAGGAGAGAGCAGTAGGAGAATCCCGGCGGTGGCTCTCCACCACCTGGCCACTCTTCAGCACAGAGGAAACCCTTCACTCCTGAGTCAAACAGCTCCAGGAGATGCCAGGAGCTGGCACAAGGGGCAAGACAGACATACAGCCCAGCAAAGCTACTGACCTGCTTGCTGGCACAAATGGGTAAACCCCATGAAATAAAAATTGTTTTTGTAGTATAAAGAGAGTTTGGCTCACTGAATCGACAAAACACCTGTAGTTCACAAATATACTGTTTTATAAAAGCCTATACAATAATTTGTGGTGAATATTCAGGAAGATATGCTCATTGCATTAAGAACTTCCTTAAAACCCACAGAAATGGGAACAGAAAACTATGGCATTCTTGCCTGGTATGATCTCCAACAAAAATATTTCAGAAAGAACAATTCATATTGCAACAACACATATATAATAAATAATATCTATTTCATAGATTCAATTCCCTACTCTTTTTCAAAGGTAATGAATTTAGTCTTCCTAACCATTTTTTTTCATTTTTTAGAATGCATTAAACACTAATAGGTATTACTGCAAGAATGCCTTTATGCTTGTGTCCTTTACCAAGCATAAAGAATTGGCTGTGACAGCCCAAGTCTGTATGTTTGATGTAACACTATCTTTTACATTCTGAGAGTAGCTGTGAGTAATCACCATGTCCCACACAGGGATTAGCACCCTATGGAAGAGGGGGTATTACAGAGTCTGTCTGTAATAGTACATATTAGAAAAATGTCTCATGTTAAGCTTAAGAGGAGAAAAAACCATAAAATGTTGCTAATATTAAGCCTGCCATCACGCTAACTTCATGTGTGATTTCATTGTAATAAAAATTCAGGGCAGACTGCATTGTTTTAAAGAGCTTTGCCTAGTCTATTAAAATGGTGTTGGATTTTATGTTTAAATCAGATCATTCACATCAATGTAAAGTCTGTTGATTTTTATTAACTCTCCTTCAATACTCCTTGGAGTAGAAGCAGCCTGACAAAATTACATCTCTATTTACAACTGCATCTCTATTTATCTCCTTGTATATAAAGACTCATGTTTCTCTGATGAGCAAAAAGCACAGACTTAGGTATTTCCAAACCCAAATCTGTCCATTTTATAATCTGGCAATTAAAATGCTAACACTGTATAAGTATTGATGTTGAGATGATAGGCTGATGATAAGAACTGTGTGTCTACCCTGTAACTAGTTATCTCTTTATCAGTGTAAGATGCAAATGGGAATTTGTAACATTAGGCAAAATGTGGGAAAAAATCCAAACAGATGCATATAGAAAATGGATAGAAATAACTGCTCTTTTCAGCAAAAATTCTATGTCATTCCTGCAGCAGCTGTAACAGGTATTACATGTCCTCTGTCAGAAAGAGACGTGTATAAGCATTCTGCCAACAGAAATTGACTCCCCATCTTTTATATTCTTAAAATTTATTAGCATGCAATGGATAAAATTACCTTCTTGACATGAAGAAGGACATGGTGTCCAGTCACTGAATGGAGTCACAATGCAGTCCTTCCTACAGGGAAGCAGACAAGGTCTCACAGTTTCTGGTCGAAGACTTTCAGGGCATCTAACAAAAAAATTACAAAGAAGCATTATCAAATGAACAATCATTCTGCAATGAAGTAGTGACTCGTGTGAGGTACTCAACACCTGCAGGAACATGAGGAGAGTGCTTGTTGCCCAGAATTCACCAGGATGGAGCACAGATATAAAAACTAATAGCAATTAAATACATGTGGTGAAAGTAAGCCAAATCTGGTGTATTTTGGGCCTCAGGATTTAAATAATCATCATCCTTCACACACCATGCTAGACTCTGTCGTTTCAGGGCTATTTTCAAGCTTTCACATAATTATGAAGAAAAGCCATGTCATTAAACTTAGTAAAATACATTTTCAGGTCTCATCATTTTATCATAAATAAAAACTTTGGAAGGAGGCATATTTTAAATAAATAACACTGCTAACCCAGTAACAAATAGGTATAAGCTGGCTGTGATTATTAGGGAAACCAGAAAAGATTTAAAACTGCCAGATCAATGAGACTGAGAAAGAGTGTCAGAAAAGGCAGAAAACCTTACTTGTTTTAGGAAGAGGCTTGATCAGCATATAAAAAGGATTATTTGACTGCCACATATGGAACTCATTACCCAGGTCAGTTTCCTCATTCTGTGGGGATTCTGCCTTTTTTCATGAACTCTCTATGCCACAATACTTGTTGTGATACAATAACTCTCACAGAAGTATTGAAAATATTTGAAATATTTCAAAATTTGAAATAATTTCAAAATTTCTATTGCTCCAAAAAGATACAGACTGCAGACTGTCTGGAGAATATGTAAAGATGTAAGAAAAACATCACATCCATGTTTAAAATTTTTGGAACATTACAGAAAAACATTACTATGACTAGCTTTTCCTCCTTTCAGTGCAAAGCAACTAGGACCAGAGGGGTAAGAGATGCAAGTCTAATGGCAAACTATCAGGAAAATCTGGTCTCCATGGTCAGCAGAGAACTATGCCTGGGCAATGTGAGTAGGACAAAAGCTGATTTGCAGTTTTACAGGGAGATACTCTTCAACAATAATGTTTGCACATGCTTTCCATCAGTAGTCTCTGCATTTTCCTGTCAATTCACATATTCTTCTCAGTACATGGTCATTTACCATGAACAAGCACCAATTCCTTGGTGCCCTCTTAAAATGGAATCTCCTTCCTTTCTCTTTTTTCCCCTCCCACCAATGTGAAAAACCATGAAATAAGACACCTACAGCAACGCAAATTTCCATCACCTCTCTGTAAGTTCTCTCTACAATTTTAAGTCAACTTGTGCCTTGTACTTCTATGTGATCCATAAAATCAGATTCTATATGCAAGGGTGTATTTAGATATGATCAGATGCACTTTTAAAAACCTCTGCTTCAAATCACATATATTGACGATGTTGTCAGAAATTATCTTTTAGATAAAAATTAAAAAATGTTTCTGAGAAGCATTGAACGTTGGCTTGCTAATGGCTTTTCTTGAATTGGCTTTTCTCTTTAAAAACAGGAGAAATTATAAACATACAAAACAATCTGAAATATACACATTCACCATTTCACAGAGAGCTTCTTCTTTCAGGAGTGCTAACCACTACAATTGCTCTTCAGATACTTAGGCAAGGCAATTAGTTCAATTAGAACACCATTTCTATGCTTTATATTGTTTGTATTTACTATATATGGCTAAGGCAAAGTATTGATTTTTTTTTCAGTCCTTATTCAAGGTCAAATTAAACAGAAAAGATACATGCTGGAGTCTGTAACTTGTGAGGCAGATAAGGCCAATAATATTGATTGTATCATACCACAGTAATCCTTTTTATTAAGGGCAGTTTAAAACAAGGTTCCTATTTACATTTTCATGTTAAATGTCTGGGTCTTTAAAAATGATTCAGTGATTTTGATGTGACAATTTGAAGGAACAAACAAGCCCTTTTTTCATTTCACATGATTCATTTATGAAAGAATAAAACAGTCTTCCTCCCAGAATTTAATATCAATTCAAAGGTAGAGGCATGTATAGTAGATTTTTAAAGGATGATAAATCATTAGACATTTGTGGGGTTTTTAATGTAAATGTACCAAACAAAAAATAATTCTATCATAACTAAAAAAACCAGCAAATTAATACAGATACACAACAATTTAGATTATGGAATGTGCAGGCATTACTCCCCACTTTTCCATTTAAAGTAAATTAGTCTTAAATCTACAGCAGAATAAAACAGCAAATGGCAGGCACCAACTAAATATTTTCTGTGAAAATAGCTGCCTCATGAACTTTCTAAATGACCTCTGAGACCAGTTCTTAGAGTTTTGAATCTGTTTTAAGTGGAATATATTCACAGACTGCAAATCCCTACAAAGATGTAATCAAATGCATTTTACTAGCAGCTAATTTGTATTTAACCCTGGTAACACATTAAACTGTAAAACTAAATCATTAGGCCAAAGGAATAACTTAAAAAAACCACATAAATAGGGAAAAAAAATCACAAATTTTGTCAAACTAATGTTTCAAATTAATGCCATGCCATTTTCCACTGTGCTACAGCTCTTTGGTCTGGTTCTGAGAAGGGCTTTAGTGTATTTAGAGTCATATCATATCACTATTTTTGAGTGGAACTGCACTAATCCATACAGTGTGTTCCTTGTTTGGAGGCAACACAAGGATCTTGGAAATGGTGCTGCTCTGCATTTCACACATATAGTCCAAGAATTTTATTGTGACTCAACCTGATGGTGATAAGGAGCCAATTGGATTTATTCAGCTGTCAGCAGAACCACCACCATAAATATCACCCATTAAAATCCATGCTGAAAAAAGTATTATCTAGTCTTGCTGTTGTGCCAGTTTTGTATTTTTAGAAGATTAAATGTCCCCTCATGAGAACAGCTAGAAGAGGGTCTTTTTGCCTTTGCAAGCAGTAAAGGCAAAAAGTATAATTGGCGATAAAAACATAAAGCAGTAAAATCCAAGCATAATTACAGCATGAAGATACTTTTAAAGATCTTTACTTTTTTGGGCCTACTTGTCCCACGTTGACTCTCACACAGATGACCTTTCTTGTCTGCATCCCCACGGAGCAGGTGGCCTCCCCGTTCCAGCCAGCAGAGGAGTTGAAAGCAGAGACAGACGTGTCCTCTATGCACTGTCCCCATGGGCCAGTCTGCCAGTGATACACAGTGCAAGAGTGCTCATTGCAGCTGCGTGTTTCCTGGAGGGCACTGCTGTTCGGGCACTGTACTCCTCCTGCAGCAATAAAAGAGGGCAAAAGATCCTTCACTGGAAGGAGATACAATTTGTATTTAAAATAACACATGCCGCAAACCCACTTTGGAATTTCCTAAGTTATATATTATCAGTTTGTTTACATGACAGAAATGCTGTTCCCTTTTCCTCCTCTTCATATGCCCAATATTGACTTTGACAAATTTCAGTCAACTGGCCACACAGAACAGACTGTTCATGGACAGTATGTAAGTCTGTACCAAAAGGATAACAAAATAATCATAACTTCTATAACAGTATTGTGCTTGGAGTGATCTAGCCTTATTATTTCAGGGTTCTCTAGAAGAAACTGCAAGAGATCACATAAGGATGTATGAAGGCTGCAGACAGAAGAAATGGTTAATTATTCTAATTATACATGTGTAAAGATCACTGTTTATGTCTAATTCACAGCTGAATTGAAAAGCTTTTTGGAGCTCTTGTCCTAGCTCCCAGTGGATGTTTATCCATATTATGTAAACCAAAGAGGATGGCACAGCTGGCAATTCCAGGTCCAGCCTATTTCAGGTTAAGATTAAAATGCAATCAAGTGTCAATGATTGCGAAGAAAGGCTCAGATAATGCTATCTTTGTTGTGTCTGGTTTCTTTGATAGTATGTTCAGTTCATTATATTCAAGGACTTCAAACCTTCTTCAGCCTCCCAGTCCTCCAGGAGAAATGAAGAGGTCTTTCCTACCAGAGGTGATCACAGGCTATTCGATGTCCAGCCCTGTGAGCAGACATTGCACCCGCTGAATATCTGCTTTTACCAGACACACAGAACCTAGGTGCAAGGTTCCAGCCTAAACAAACAATGGGACTCCTATCTCCAACTGATGGAAAGGCAGGCAAAAATCTAAGCAATATTTTAGCCTCTCCTAAAAGACAAGAAAAGTAAGAAAGACAATTGAAAGAGGAGCTTTTTATTAGTTAATGCTGATGATCCATATGACTTTTCTCTAAAATGTATTCTCCCACCATGTTGTAGAGTATATTATTTATACCCCAGAACTGAACTTCAGGTTGACTGTCTGCTCTACAGATATGAGGAAGCGAAGGGGTTTTAAGTACTCATTGTTGAAATTAAACAAAAAAAATAAATGTAATCAAAGAAACAATGGATGCTTCAAATACTACAACACAAGAAGGTCAAGTTACCAGTATAAAAATACTTTATACCCCAAGTTGTTCTGCATGGTCTAGATCTGCAGTTAACATGAGAAAAGGTTCATTCTAATGAAAAGACAAGATAAAATCATAATTCTTGATTGATTTCTCTAGGAATATTTTTAATTTCTGGCTTTTTTTCCTAAAAATATTGATTTAACCAAGCATCAGGAAACATCATATTAATTGAGATATCATGCCACAGACTAGCTAATCTTAAATTTTGCAAAGGGGGATCAGAAAAACCTACAAGTATGTGAATCTAATTAAATAATTTGAATTGGTTTTTTTGGTTCAAAATGGATGCAACTCAAGTCTATCAGAATTGCTTAAAATATATGTCAATGTGCAGAGCATAAAAACAAAATGCCAGATGTATCTTCTTAAAAGAGGAAAATTTAAAAAAATGGTAAAATAAGATCATGATTATGTAATAAGTGTCATAAAATTATCTAATCATCAGCTGTCAAGAAAAAAAAATCAATAATCGCAGAAGATAGGAATATAAGCAAGTAAATTAGAAAAGTGAGTGCATTTTGAAGAGGAAAAAATAATAAAATCACAAATTATTTGTCATGGAAGAGAAAATTGATCCATGTGTGAGAAGTCTAGACATGTTCCTCCATTAAAATGATTAAATAAGGAAAATATAGGAGATATAAGGAAGGTTAATAAATTAAGTATACTGATGTTAGCTCAAGAGAAAACACAAGGGAAATATTTCATTAAATTTAAAAATTAAAGGGTGCATGTGTGGGAAAAAATATTTTGCCAGAATTGAACGCCACAGGCACCAGTTCCTAAGACATTTGAGAATAAAGTGACAACTTGGGTTCAGTTTCGACAGCTATGCAAGAATATATATTTAGAGAAAAATAGAGATTGACATTGACTTGTAAATGAAAAACATTGGGGCATGAGTGTCTGCAGCTCAGTAGGAATCCAGTTCTGTTCAGATTAAATCAGGAGTTAAAAAACATGCAAAGACTGAACAAAGTATGGAAATAATACTACTAAAATAAAAATCAATGTGCCATTCTGTCCAGGAAAACAGCAGTCTCTTGAGATTCCTTCAATTTAAGCAGGTAGATAAAATGCAGAAGGGGTTGGAAAACTGGCAGTTAGAGATGCACTTTACAACATCTGTGTTGGGGTAACAACTTTATGAGCCTATCCCCAGTAGAGGACAGGTTTGACAGGAATGTAAAATTTAATGAGTATCACAGAAAAAAAAAAATAAAATAGACATTTGAATTCATCAGAATATAGGGAAAAGGAACATGCAATAATAAACACATCCTTTAATAATAAATGATCACATGACAGTAAATAACATAACTGCTTGGCAGTACTAAATATAATAATTTCAAGGATACAAAAACCAGTTGGAGCTTAAGCATTTTGGGTTTGGATTTTTAAGCAAAGCAGACTTGGAAGGGAAAGATTAGCTTTGCAGAGGGACTTGCATATTGCTCATAAAATAGCTGACAGAATTGTCATACACTGAGATTGCTTTTCTGCCTGGGTTGGAGCTGCTAATGGGTAAGACATCTTGCTCTAGGATATTCAATTATAGGATTTTATAAATATTTTTTTGTGATGCTGACTTGATGACTTTCAAATTTCAAAAATTTAAACATTTATTTAAAGAATTTAGGATAATTTTAATTAATCATTTTGATATCACTTCTTTTTGCAAATGCATATAGTTTTATAAATGCATTTCAAAACAGCTGGAATAATCTTAAAGTTTGAGAAAACAGATGTGACTGAAGTGCCTCTTATATTCTAGTGAGTGAAATGGGTGTTACTCCTTTCTTTGCTGTAGGCAGGAGGTAGGCAGTTTTCAAGGCAGCTGCACTTCCTGAAGACAGACACAGAACCAAGACTATTCCTGTTCTGCAAACATTGGTGCTTCCTCCCCTGGTTTATATGAGTTTCACAAACCAAGCAGACCTGTCCAAAATACACAACAGGTCAGGATGCAGAGTGGACTCATGGTAAATGTGAGGTCTGTCCTAAAGCCTTTTCCAGGATAGAGTATGAACCCCTGACCCCTCACTACACTCAGCAATCTGAGTTGATGGGCTCCTGAGCAAATAAGCACAGTAACATACCCTGCCCTGGCTCACCTTTCTCACACAGGTGTCAGGTTACTTAGTAAGTCTTGCCTGAAAATTCAGGTTGTACAGTTCCAAAACTAAATGGGTTTTTTTATTCTTGTTTCATTAAAAACCTCAAGTTCTCCACAACTTATTCTTTTGTGAATGAGCAATTTGCTGCTGAAATAAATACTCAAATCTGTGCTTTCACATTTAATTACCAAGCATTAAATGGTAATTTTAATTACAATTTAATTTTCAAGTCAGGAAAATATAAAAATTAAAAACAATAACTGTAGGAAGAGTAAATACATTAAAAAACCCTAAGCATAACTTCTTGTTTGCAGCTATGCAGTCTAACTGCACTGGAATTTAACAGGAATAAAATTTTTAATCATATCAATAATAATATGTTAAATATTGATAAGAAACTCCTTTTATCCATCTATTGCTTGCATATTCAATAAAGCAGTGTTGCAGAGAGTTGGGAAGAGTTGTTAGTCCCTGTCAAACAGAATATCTGATGACATGGGCAACTGATAGTCTATACTATCTAACTGTGCTATATGGTCATGCCAAATAGTCCTTCTGGCATTACACATTGCTGATCTATGAGCATGCAACACTCAGCGAAGCACTGCTGCACATATGCATCCCTGCCCTAAGAGAATAATAAATTCCCTTCTTTCTCATTTTAATAAATTAAGCTTTTAAGCCATCTTATTTTCCTCTTTGCATTTGACTTTTGGTTTTTTGGTTTTGGTTTGGGTGTTTTTTGAGAGTTGAGGTGTTAAATCTTTACTTTTCCAAAATTGGTTGGACTGATAAAACTTAGGATGTACCCATAACATTAGTGTTATGCTGTTTTGCACCTATTTGCCAGTCTATGGCAGTGTCTATGTTTATAATCAAAACAGAATCTATCTACATATTTATTTCTTAGTGAAAATCTAAGATTAATTCCGTACGTTTTAGTCTCAGGTCCAGTAGTAATGTGAAACAGTCTTAGTGCACACTACTCATTATATAAGATTTATTGTAAGCAGGGAATAAAAGAAGAACAGAAATATTAAACAGAACATAAACCAAAAGTAGACACACCCTACATTTAAGAGATAGGCTGAGCTGTATATGGTACCTTACTAGATTTATGCAGAACAACTGTATGAAGTATCAGGTAACATCACTACGTCCTTTGCTGTCATTTTATATTTTGAGACAGTGACTTTTCTGAGTTTCTAACTGTACCATGAAGATATATTTGTCAGTGACACAAATGAGCTAACACTATAGGCAGTCTCACAGACAGGCAAATTTATAAATCACTTTGTCTTTCAAACCTTCATGCTGAGGACAATGATCTCAGAAAAAATATCAAAAAATGGTTATTGTGACATTCACTTCCACATGAAATCATCTCACAAAGCACAATAAGTCTTTATCTTGTGAAGAGACTCCTTTCTCTCCACTGCATGCAAGTAAATAAGCCCATCCCAGATGTGCATGACCACACCGTGCTTGAGGCTCTGCAGCGTGTGGATTGACCACATGAGAAGGGTCTTGTTTGGAATGAGGGAATGATGGCAAGAGGGGTGTACAACTGAGCTCAGCTCCTGGCTCAGGCAGAAATCAGTGTGGTGCTGGAGGGGCACCTGGTAACCCAGAGCTCATTAGAAAACTTTGTCACTGTTGTAATTTACATATGGCTTATATTTTTGCATTTTACATATGGCTTATAGTTTTTCTGTGAACCTATTCTTTACACTGAGGAATTATTACAATACTACTGAATTATTCTTATTCTAAGTCATAAAAAATTGATTAGACTGTGGTTGTTTCCTGGTGGCCAGCCATGTTAACTGGATGGTTTCTTCAAACCAATTCAGCAGCAGAGATAGATGGGTAATAAAAGGAAAAAAATTTCTTAGATGTGAAATGACATAGCTCTATTACAGACAGTATTATGCCAATGTTAACATGAAAAATGGAAGTATAGAGTATTTTTCATTTCAAAGAGGAGAGAAACTGAACAATCATAGACAATAGTTGATAAACAGCTATCTGAGATCCAGATAAAAAACCTATTTCACATGTATCTATAGATCCTCAAAATTTTCTGGGGGTGTTCATGTTTAAGTACCCAAATGAATGAGAATTAAATATAGCAGATACTTTGATGGATTGCAGTATTCATTGCATATGTAATGCCTTCAATGCTTTGATCTTTCTAGGTTTGTGCACTGAATGACTAGCAGGAGAATGTGTATGATCAAGGACTCACACCTGGACTCCTTATGTAATTTTAGAATACAAATTTAGCCTTATTCATGGATTTGAAACAGTCTTGCATATATTTTCTTTACTTAATATCCAATCCTGATATATAATAGGAATAGTATATATTTATGTACAATGTATTTCTCCTATTGTATTTTGAGTAAAAACTCAAGGTAACAGGATACAGAAATTACTATGGAATAGCTTACATAGCTTGGTCTGTCTCTCATACCAACAACTCAGGAAAAGGTTCAGAAATCCAAAAGAAAACTTGTGTGACTGTTCACCTGAACAGAATCAATAGCTGTTTTCAGAACTCAGCTTTAATTTGTAGATGGAATTATTGGTCTTACATATATGAGACTAGGAATTTTTAGTTTTACATGATGCTTACAGAGCTTCCATCTACAGTTCTGTACATTTTTTCTAAGTTCTGAATAGAACTGAGAACTGCATGTTTTCCAAAAAACATTCAGGTGAAGCTTCCTTTTATATCAGTGGAATGCAGATGTTTAAATACATTAATATATTCTGTGCTCCTAGAACAAGAAATGACCTCCCAGCACCCAGTATTTTATGTTTTGGGAACACAGCTGGTCTCAGTCATGGAATTCTGGAGGTGAAAAGTCATTCAATTATTTGTCATGTAACAAATGACTGAGGCATAACAGGAGTATGAGGAGAAAGATGACAATAACTCTAATTCCACTGAAGCATTAAAGAAGTTAAACTGATACATTTTTTAATATAATACAAGAAAAGGTGAAAAGTATTTTCCAGCTAAAGTTGTAAAAATACCCTAAGCCTTGGAAGGTTCTTTAATTTATTTTTATACTTTTATTCTCTGGAGTTTGTATAGAGTACAAAGGAACACTGTATTGAAGAGACCTGCTTGAAATGTGAATGCATTCCTGGATAAGCTGGGTAGACCTACCAGCTTGCATCCTTAAAAAAAGCACAGAGTAACTTCATCTGAGATAGTGTGAAAGAAGCCAGGGTTTGAGCAGCGCTGAAGCATTATAACACCCAGGTAATGAGTTTGCTTTCTCAGTCTTATTTTAGGGATTTCTTCACAACAGCCTCTGTGGTTTGAGATCTGTCAGTCTTTGTGATTACTATGTGCTGATTCTGATTGCTGCACAACAAACATTAATAAAATTCACATATCCAAAATCTAGCTGATGCTGAACAGTTTTGCTGCATCTGCTGTCTTGTAAATTAACCTAGGTCATATTAAGTAGCAAAGTCAGAATAAGGAGTATTTTTTAAGACTAAGAGTAAGGAAGTGGAATAATTTTTTCAGTAATTTAGGTTTTGACTACTATGGCATGCATGTCAGGATTTAAATTTCTGTCTCCAGCAAAATTACAGAAGTATATAGAAAATCTATTGTCTTGACATACATGGACAAGCAAGAAGCACATGAATATATGCTTATTTGAATTATATAGCTCTGTGTTCCCCCCAAAATGAGTCTGTTTGACATACTGTATTAAAAAAAGGGAAACCACAAACCCAATTTTTAAAAAAATTTAAAAGTGTTTCTACTTTGTTACATTAGATCCATCAAAGTAATTTATTATTTGTATCACCTACTAAAAGAGAGTTCTGATTGCCACTTACATTTCTAGCCAAGATTCCTTCCAGAGAAAAGACTGAAAGTGCTCTGCTACATTTTTTTTTTACAATCACCCAAATTCTGCCAAATACATGGGACACTTTGAATGTGAATGTTAGCTGTGTCTGCAAACAGTGATGTGTACAGCTACTCCATTTCACTGCTTCCATACCTTGCAGCTTCCAATTTTCAGGTAAATTTGGTCTTAAGTAACAAAATGCTCAACAGTTTAAAAGAAGAACTAACACATGCATGTAATCCTTTTGTATTGAGGCATGTAACTTTTCTGTCAGTAATACATGTGAGTAAACATCTTCCAAGAACTCTTTGGTGGCTGTATCTCCTGGCTCCTGGTGTTACAAGGCATTTTATCAGCTGGACCCTGGCAGACTTGATATGGCCATTTTTGAACCATGTTATATACAGAATACATTTCCTCTATAACCCATCCACTCCTTCAAATACTTAAAACCAAAACAAAAAAGAGACATAGGAACCATGGGAAATTATCAAAGAATAGCCATTAACCTGTATCTAAAACCTGTTTTGTCTACTGCTTTATATTCCAGCTATGTCTTCTCTTTGCATATGCTGCAGACACTGCACAAGGATTATTTGAATAAATGGAAACAATTCACGAGTGAAGACTTGTAGGGCAAAACCCAAAGTTTTCCTATGAATAACAATGTTAGTGGGATAACATAAGTTACCAATTAGAGCAAAGAAACTTCAAAACCCTTTTGCTAACACTTGAACCATTAAAATTGTCATCTTTTCAGCATTCACGATACTTATATCTTTCCAAATTGGACATAAATTAGTGTTGCTAATCTGAATTGGATGAACTGTTTGTCTCGTTTTATTTTAATGAAAACAAGAAAATTGCATCTCTGAAATACAAACAGTAACATTAGGCACACTAAAAAAATATCCTAACATTAACTGAAATTAGCAAAATAAACCCTCTTTAAAACACCTTTAGGTACCAGGAGTAGGATAAGCATTTAAACAATTTTGCTATATTTAAAAACCCACAATGTGACCTAATTGTTTCTGCTGTCAATCAAGGAATTCCTTTGCCATTACAAAGGCAGCTGAGGACTGACAATCCGGGAGGAGGGTGTGAGCCCTTACCTTCACCTGCGTAGGCCAGGATGGAGCGGGCGCGCAGCTGCCTCCCTTCCGTGGTTTTGCCGGAGCAGGTGTGCGAGCAGGAGGACCAGGCAGACCACGTGCTGAGCACACAGTCCTTCGGGCACGGCGCCTCGCACGCCACCGGGATGGGGTAGATGGCATCTCTGCACAGCTGCCTGTCAACCTCTTCTCCTGGGGGAAAAAAAAAAAAAAAAAAGGCCACTAGCAGTCTATTATTTGCTAAATTAACTTAAAATGAGCAATCTAGTCCAGATGGGCACACAAATAAATTAGATTCTGTTCTTCTGTGTAAACAAGGTAAATAGATTTTTTTATTACTTATCTCCTCTGTCTGGATTCTAGAAGAGCATACTTAAACCTAAGTTGATTCGATAGTCTCATGAAGTGAATGCCAGCCTGGGTGGTCTTTAGGTTTTTGTTTTATAGTACATACTGGATCCCACACAAACTCCAAATGAACAGACTATATAACATCCCTATGGAAAACTGTGTACATAGAGATGTGTGTATAGAAATGATCAAGTTTTCATCCAGATTTGTGGGAGAAGGGGAAAAACATCCTAACTCAGCCCCACAATTCATACTTTGTATTACAGCTATCCATCAAAATGTGAAAAGGTGCAGTAAATTACAATCAGAGTGTTTAGTTAGAAAGATCTTCATCTGTTAGCAAATCAGCAACACATCACTCTTTGTGTCATGGAAGTATAACAAGATCTATGCATTTGTATTCTGTAGGTACACATTTCATTATAATAATAAGATCGAGGCTGGTGTGAATTGCTTAATGAAATATTAGCTAGTATTTAAGTAGCAGGGTTGCTTTTGTTTTCAATCAGATAATCGTGAGAGCACTGTGTCTGAACCCTTAATCACAACATGGATAGTTTTGTGAGGTGACATGATTTCTTTATCAAGTAAGATAATATTTATTAAGGGGGAATGAATGAATGAATGACCACATATTCTGATATCAGTAAGTATCATGATAAATCTTCATGTTGGAGCAAATTATGGAAAAAATGAAGGAGATAGAGATTTGAGTCCAGTTTTTAGAATTCTAGCCTCGTTAGCACAATGTAATGCCTGTTATGAGGAACTGAAAATGTTGCATCTAAGAGTACACTGGACTTCTGAAGCCTTGACAACCACATACAATTAAGGCATGAAAGAGCCAGCTCAGTTGTAAACATAAAGCTTTTTTTTTTAATTTTAATTTTCTAAAAAGAATAACACTTCAAAGAATCTAAATGCCTTTTGTGCTATATAATCTTCACTGTACTAGGGTATAAAACCTTCTGTTATGATTCATCTATTGAAACACTCTTGAATTTTACATGATCCTGACAGGACAAAACAGGAGTTGTCTACATTATGCACTTTCTAAGACCCATCATGTCAACCCCTTTGTTTTAATAGCCAGTGTCAACAAAATAATGTCTTCTCAATATTTGCAAATGAATGTACGTCTTCAATACAACAAAATATTTGTTAGATATATTGATCAAATACCCTGCAATTGACTCACAAAGGCATCAGTTACTGTTAGTAACTACCACAATGGATTCTGAAAGCTAATTCAGTAAGAACTGAGCACATTATAAATTAAGCTAAAGATGTAAAAACTCTGTTTTACCGAGTCTCAAGTTAAACTTTATTGTTCAATAGACATAAAATAATGAATTGATTCAAATACTAATCAAAATAGAAACTGCATAAACTGCATTTTTTGTCATTCAAAAAAAAAAAGACAAAATACAGTCTTTTAAATAAGAATCTCTTAAACTGAGTTCCTGAAACCAGGAGGTATTTTAGTACTAAATCAGATTATGACCCAGAAGTGTTAGCCAAATTCTTTGTGAAAGAGTTAAAGATGAAGGCTATCCATTCAATATTAGATCCTTTTGAACACTGCCAAATATTTTAGTCATACAGAATATTTAGGCACAACAGAAGTACAAACATCAATCTTCCTTGGTTCTGAAAACCAGGGAAAATCCTGCAGCTCATGTTTTTAAAATAGCCTAAAGTAGTCATACTCATCTGAATTATAAAGACCTTTGAGATCAAGTCAGTCTCAGCAGCTATATTTTCCCATATTAAAATACAAATTTGAGCCCTGCCAAAGGCTTCATGGCTCTCCCATGCCAAGTTCTGCTTCCCTCACTGGACTCAGTCTTTGCATCAGCTGCTCCCTCTGTTATATTGCAGGTCATCACACCCTGACACCAGTGCAGGAGGGATTCCTTTCTGCTTCATCAGAAGGGCATTTGTTTGGGTTCAAGGACAAGAGATAGAGGAGAGGACTGTAAACTTCTTCTACAGAGAGGAAAAAAAAGCTAGAAAAGGGTGAAACATACTCTCAAATTTTTTCCATTGCTAGGTAAGATTCAATAAGGCAGACTGCTATGACATATGCACACTTTGCAAGAAATGCTACTATTACAATTGTGTGTCACAGTATAATGACACTATACTGAACTTATTTACCACTTACTGGCTTTTAAGTTTAAACTCAAGCTTAATGTGGTGCCACAATGAAGAATATTTTAAACTTAGTTTCAGTCTGAGTTTATATCTCAAATAAAATCAAGCCTTCACTCTCTCCCAAAGTCAAAGGCCCTATTTTTGCTTTGCTTTCACAGAGAAAACATTCTAGAGATATTAATCTTACATACTGGCATTTCGTTTTTGTCAAGTGTCCAATTCTTATCTGACAAATTCAATAGCACAAAAATGTAGTCAGAAGAAGTGTCTTATAATGGATACTTCTTATCTTCAGGGAAATATTTTATTTATACTAAATTGTTTCTGAAATCTCACTAATGATTTTATTAATAACTTGACCTTTTTTGCCTTCCTATTTAAAGGGCGTAGTGTAGTCAACACCAGGAATCACTCAACTATAAGCTGGGAAAAATGCCAGTGTAAAGACTACTTAGAAAAAGTTCCATTTGAAAATGTTTGGCATTGAATGTTGAAGCAAGTCCAAAGAAGGGCTATGAAGGTGAGCAGAGGGTTGGAATATGTCTCCCATGAGGAATGGCTGAGAAAATTGAAGTTGTTCAGCCTGGAGAAGAGAATCCAATGAGACACTATAGAAGCCTTCTAGTACCTGAAAAAGGCTGACAAGAAGGATGAAAAGGGGCTTTTAAAAAAAAAAGCATGTAATGATAGGACAAGGGTGAAAGGCTTTAAACTAGAAGAGAGAAGATTAAAGAAGACATTCTTTACTGCAAAGGAGGAGAGGCACTGGATAAGTTGTCTGTATCCACATGGTGGCTGCTCCATCCCTGGAAGTGCTCAAGACCAGGTTAGAGGGAGCTGTGAACAACCAGTTTTAGTGGAAGCTGTCCCTGTCCATGGCAGAGAGGCTGGATCTACATAATCTTTAAGTTCCCCTCAAACCCAAACCATTCAATGATTCTATGATTTTATTTCAATGTTATGGGTAAAAATTTATGTTGCATAAGTATTCAAGACACAACTCCAAAAAAAAATTAATGAAAGGGGTCTGCCCTGGGTTACTTTAAACAACAGAAAGACAATAAAGTAAAAAGCAGAGAGATGAAAACAGAATATGACATTTCTGTCAAGAGAACTCTTCACCACTTATCAGTTGACTTGTTCAATAAAATCCAGCAATGGAATCTAGCAATATTCCATATTTGCAAACAATGTCTATGTTGTTGAATTATAGTTCTCTCTTAGGCAAGAGACACACATTTTGGGCTAAAATATCCAAATAGCACTTAAGGAAATGATAGCACATAAAAATGGCCAGAGGCAAAAGAGGTTTTTTTTTTTCAAAAATGTAAAATGTCAAAAATGGTTTAAACTTTTCCTGGGATTTTTGTTACAGATTTTACATCAGTGAGGACTTCTGATGGGATAGTCTTCTGAACACATATTTCTTTATCAAATAATTATGCTGGATCCATCTGAACAACCAGCAAAGCATGACACTACATTAAGATCTCCTTTTGGCCAGCTTCTTGTCTCAAAGACTTTCTGATATGTATGCCCACATGAGAGCCATGCAACTATTGAACTATTGAACTATGCAACTATTTAGTTGGTTTAAAACAAATAAACAAAAACAACTAAAAAACACCAAGCCAACCAAGAAAAAAAAATCCCAAACTACAGAATAGGCAAATTTTTACAGATCAAAGAGGTAGCTTGTGAATAGCATTCAGAAGAAACTGATTAATTAATATCAGCATTCATATCAGCATTCTTGTTTTATTATATTCACAAAGCAGGTATTGTATCTGTGAAAATTTAGTCTGGATGCTAAAGGTAGAGCTGGACCATATTCTGTGGTTAATGTAGATGAATCATGTCATCCTTTGTGGTTTTGTCTACTCATCTGTAAAATGTGTCTGATATTTAAGTTTCTTGTAAAATGCTTTAAGTTCCAATGGGAAGCATTCCTAGAGCTGGAATCACTAGAGAGACATAGTAAAGAAACCCTCTTGCTTATTGTGCATGTTTTAACATGCTGCATGCTCCAGTGCACAGTAAAAAATTGCTGTCAAATTCTGACCTGTAGTAAATGGGAAGGCAAGCGCTTAACAGAGATGAAAATGTTTTTTAAGCCTTAAAATGAACAGTAAATTCACTGCAAGATTCAATGAGGCATAGAGAACAACTTTAAAAAAAAATCAGCATAAAATAAAATTGCTGCTGGAGCCCTATGTAACAAGTCAATGAGCCTGGTCTCAGTTCTAAATGAGGAAACCAGATATTGTTTCTGAAAGAGTGACCTATAACTTGATATAAACTAAGTAAATTTTGACATAAAATAAAAATAAGTGGAATTAAATCAAGAGAGTGTTTTGAACTTTTATAGTTAACATGCTTAACATGCCTGTGTAATCAGTAAAGGACAGGAATATCACACAGCGGTAAAACAAATTTTACAGTTGTATTTTGAAGTTCATAAAAGAAGATTGCAACTGAACCCAAATACTAAAACTGGACTGCAGACTTCATATTACTTATTGTTTGTTTCAATATGTTCAAATTTAGTATTATATCTTCAACTTGAAAGAAAAATCTCTTGTATCAGTATCTTGAACATGATGTATCATCCACTGGAAAACTGCTGGGCAGCTGAAATGTTTGGAAAAGCACTCCAGAGCTCAACTTTTAATGTGATTGTGGGT